TTCCTAGGAACGAAAACAAAGAGCATAAAATCCTGAAAAAGAAGGGAAACGTCTCGCGCTCGACGTACCAACACATGGTATCAGTTCCCGGCTCTATCGAATAAGGTCATGCAATCTCCGGAGAAGCAATGGCGTCGGGTAGCGGAAATGGAGCAGTCCTTTATCTTACTGATGGGTTCTCACATAATCGTCCCCCATGTTTCGAAGACGTTAATTATGGCTATTGGAAGAATCGAATGGAGCTCTTCATTGGATCGATAGATCCGAAGATCTGGAGTCGAGTGAATCTAATTTATTGTGCTTTGGGTCCTTAGCAGTACCACAAGGTTGGGGGGGGTGCAAAACAGCCAAGGAGATTTGGGATAAACTTCAAGTCACATATGAAGGCACATCTCAGGTGAAAATTTCTCGCATAAATATGCTGAAAACTGAGTTTGAAACTTTGTGAACAGTCTAGAGAATCTATGAACCACATATAAAAGTGGCGAACTAGTGCGGAAGATACTCTGGTCATTATCGAAGAAATGGAATGCAAATGTGACTCCGATTGAGGAAGCAAAGGATTTGAGCAAGTTGGATGTTGATGAACTCATCGGATCGTTTGCAACATATGAAGAAAAACTTAAGAGAGAAAGCACTGAAGTTCAGAAGAAGGAAATGAGAGGGATAGCCTTTAAGGCACAAATAAAAGAAGAAGAAGAACCTGATCACTTCGAAGAAATGGATGATGACGAGTTAGCAATGCTAAGTAAACACATTAGTCAGCTAATGAAGGTCAGAAGAGAACGAAGGAAAAGGAGTTTTCAGAATTAGTACAAGGATAAAGAAGTTGAAAGAGAAGGCACTTTCGGGAAGTATAGAGGGTCTAGAACAAACTCTAGAATAAAGAGGGACGGTACATCTATTGATAGAAGTCAGAGTGGGTGTTATAAATGTGGACGTACAGGGCACATAAAGGCAGAGTGCACCTTTTGGAAGAAACAAAGACCTCTGGCAGCAACCTGCAGTTGCAATGAGGAAGAAGAAGAGGAATCTGATTGAGGACTTAGAGGAAGAGAATCGTGTTTGATAGCAATAGAGCAATCCGATGGTGAGGCACATGCGGCTGACATTCATTTCAAAGTCTCCGAGGTAAGACATTCTGATTCGGAAACCTTCAACGAATCAGATTATTATAGTGATGATGATGTGTTAGCATAAACCATTAAAAGCATTCAATTAGAATTCGGGGTTGTAAAAATCAAGTACACTAAGTTAAAAGCAGATCATTATGAATTAACTGACAAGTATGAGGTTTTGGAAAAACAAGCAAATGAGCATAAGGAAAATTGTGAAAGGTTGTAAGACCTGGTTTCTAAACTGAAAGCTGATAATCATAATTTGCTAGAAAAAAGCAAGGATTGTAACCAGAAGAGTCAAATAAGAAGTTTAGACATCAAGAAAAGAAATACCAACTAGAAAGAATTCTACTACTGTCACAAAAGTAGTAATTTGATCCGTTATTGTAGAAAAAGAATACAATAAAAAAAGGAAATCAGACAGTCAATATAGTATAAAAACTTGTTATACTGAAAATCATAATCAACATATATCCAAGAAAGTCTGGGTACGAAAAACAACATGACTATTAATGATGCATGATTGTCTTCAAGTGAACATGAAGGCAAACACATGGATATTGGATAGCGGGTGTTCACACCATATGACAGGTAGTCGTGAACTATTTACCAAATTCAAAACAGGTAAGGAAGGTAAGTGTATTTTGGTGATAATAACTCTGCCAATATAATTGGTAGAGGAATCATTGGTAATAGTCCTTACATAACTTATGTCATGTTAGTAGAAAACTTAAAACATAATCTTATTTCTGTAAATCAGATTTGTAAAAGGGCAATCATGTTTTCTTTGAAGATGATACGTGTTTCATTGAAAACATAGTTACCAGAGAAATCCTTCTTCATGGAAAAAGGGTTGGTAAAGTCTATGTTATTGATCTTGACAACAAGGATCTCTCTAAGGAAATGTGTCTTGCAACCCTTAGCAATAATAATCAGTTTGACTGGCATAGGCGTTTAGGTCATGTTCATTCCAGAGTCATTTCTAAATTAGTAAATGTAGACATTGTTAGGGGTCTTCCTAAACACAATAGTAACAAAGAGTTCTTTTATGATGCTTGTGTGAAAGGGAAACATACGAAGACTAGTTTTAAAAGCAAGCAAGTAATCCCGACCTCTAAACCTCTTGAATTACTTCATCTTGATCTTTTCAGACCCACGAATATAGTTAATTATGGAGGTACGAGTTATGCCTTTGTAATTGTTGATGACTACTCTCGTTTTACGTGGGTGCTGTTTTTGGCAAGTAAAGATGAAGCCTTTGAAAACTTCAATAATTTAGCCATGAAAATTCAAAATGAAAAACAGTCTAAAATCATTAGCATTCGTAGTGATCATGAGGGAGAGTTAATTTCTGACATGTTCCGCAAGTTCTGTCTTAGTAAGGGTATTCAACACAATATTTCTGCCCCCAGAACACCTCAGCAAAACGACGTGGTGGAAAGGACAAATAGAACTTTGATTGACATTGCTAGTACCATTTTAAATGATTATTCTGTTCCTAAGTACTTTTGGGTAGAGGTTGTTAACACAACTTGCTATGTTATAAATCGTGTGTTAATTAGATCTGGTTTAAACAATACTCCTTATGAGATATGGAAAGGTATAAAACCAAACATTGGTTACTTTCATCCTTTTGGGTGCAAGTGCTTCATTTAAATACCAAAGACAACTTAGGAAAATTCGATGCTAAGTCTGACGAGGCTGTTTTCCTTGGATATTCTATGTCCAACAAGGTTTATAGGTGCTTTAATAAAAGGACCCTCAAAGTAGAGGAGTCCATAAATGTTAAATTTGATGTTTCTGCAGTTGAGATTTCAGTTGACTTGGATGATGATGATTTCGGGTTGAGTAGAAATTCTTCTAGTTCCGAACAGTAAGGAAACACTCATTATGCAGAACTCTCAAATATAGAGATAGAAGGTACCTCAACAAAGGAATTTCATCCATCTCCTCATGTTATCAAGCGACACCCACCCTCTTTGGTGATAGGTAAGGTAGATGAAGGTATGGTCACTCGCTCAAAACTTGTACCTGTTCATATTGTTTTCATTTCGTTAATTGAACCTAAGTCAGTTAAGGAAGCTCTCTTAGATGAGTTCCGGAATAAATCTATGCATGATGAGTTACATCAGTTCGATCGTGCTCAAGTGTGGGAACTTGTTCCTAGGCCTGAAAATGTGAATGTGATTGGAACTAAGTTGATTTACAAGAATAAAACTGATGAGGAAGGTCTGATCACTAGAAATAAGTCGCGTCTAGTTGCTCAAGGATACTATCAAGAAGAGGGGATATATTTCGAGAAAATTTTTGCTCCTGTAGCAAGATTAGAAGCCATTAGGATGTTATGTGCGTCTGCATCTTCAAAAGGTTTTAAATTATTTCAAATGGACGTGAAGAGTGCCTCCTGGTTTATGTCTCTCAGCCTCCTGGTTTCGAAGATTTCAAACACCCTGATTATGTTTACAAGTTAAAAAAGGCCTTGTATGGCCTTAAGCAAGCTCCTAGGGCGTGGTATGACAAATTGAGTAATTTCTCCTAAAAACTGGCTATCGTAGGGGCACAATCGATAAAACCTTATTCATTAAAAAGAAAAAAGATAATTTATCGTTGGTTCAAGTCTACATCGACGACTTTATCTTTGGGTCATCAAATGAAGAGTTGTGTCGAAAATTTGAGCAAAGCATGAAGGAGAAGTTTGAAATGAGTCTCATGGGGGAGTTAACTTACTTTTTAGGTCTCCAGGTAAGTCAACATTCTAAAGGAATTTTCATAAATCAACACAAATATATTCAAAATATGTTAAAAAGATTTGATCTAGAATCTCTCAAAACAGCGTCCACTCCAGAGCTTCTAACATTAAGCCAGATATAGATGTTTCTGGAGTAGAAGTAAATGAAAAATTGTACAGAGGTATGATTGGCTCTTTACTCTATCTTACGGCTAGCCGACCTGACATAGTTTTCAGTGTAAGTCTCTGTGCTCGGTTTCAAAGTAATCCCAAAGAGAGTCACCTTTCATCAGTAAAACGCATCTTTCGATACGTAGCAAGTACTCCTACTCTAGGTTTATGGTATTCCTCTGAATCCAGCCTAGATTCCATTGGATATAGTGATTCAGACTATGTGCTTGGAGTCTAGTTGATAGTAGAAGCACATCTGGTGCCTGTCATTTTCTAGGATCGTCTTTAATTTCCTGGTCTAGTAAGAAGCAAAATTTTGTAGCACTGTCCACCACAGAAGCATAATACATAGATGCAGGATCCTGTTGTGCTCAACTTCTTTGGATCAAGCACCAACTATCTTATTTTGGTATTAGCCTTCGCTCTCTACCAATTTTGTGTGACAACACTAGCACTATAAATATCACCAAAAATCCTATTCAACATTCTAAAACCAAGCATATAGATATAGGATACCACTTCATTAGAGAGTTAGTTCAAGATAAAAAGGTTCACCTAGAGTTTATACCCACTCAATATCAATGAGCTGATATTTTTACAAAGCCTCTAGGTATAGAAACTTTTATTTGTATTAGAAATGAACTTGGTATGTTCTCCTTGGAAGAAGTAAATGATATCACGTCAAGGTAAGTTTTTGGTTAGAATTGCTTATTGATTCTCAATCAATCTTGGTCATGCAATTAAAATAGTAAGTCCTATGATCTAATTAGGAGTTAATTGTCAATCTCTCCTTCTGTTTATACATACCTTGATTCTAATTAAGAGTTAATTGTCAATCATATTTTTTATCATATGCATGTTAGTTCAAAAATTAGTCTTGATTGTCGTGCTTAATTCTTTTTCATCTCTCTGAAACTCTTATTTCCTAATCTCTATACCTTAGTATGCGTATATATTCCCTCCTGTCTTAGTCTATAGAAGTCACTCATTCTTACTTACTTGACATTGTTCAATCGTGATTACTCCTCCCATCATGGCTTTCAGCACCCAACTTTCCCTTATCATTGCTCGCTCTTCTGTGTTCACCAAAAACTTTTGTTCTGAACCAAAAGATTATCCTCACTACCTTCAAAACTTCCGCCACGTCTGCATGTTTCCTTCCTTTACCATCGTGCCCTCAAACTTCAATCACTATCTTCTGCGGGTTTTGGATATGATCCATGGTCTCGGCTGGAGCCATCTCCTCGAAACTAGGCGCTTCAACTACTGTCCTGAAGCAGTGAGGCTGTTTTATGTCAGCATGCGCAGAGATGCTAATCATCGCCCTACCTATTTCACTACCACAGTATTTGGCCATTCCGTCACCATTATTGTGCAACTGATCTCCCGCCTGCTGGGCATCTCCATTGAAGGGAGAACTATGATGTCTGAAGACGACTTTCCTCTCTTCCACTTTGATCTCCAGGAGGAAATTATTCGCCTCTCTTCATTACCTGAAGATGAATACACTAGGGCTAACTATACCCATGTGAATAATCTCTCAAATGATCCTAAGGTGCTGCACTTCTTCATCACTCGAGTTTCCCTTCCTAGATCCACCAATCAGATGCTGGATGTGTGGATCTTGTCAAATGTGATGTCTGGCACGAAGTTAAGCTATCCTCACCTCATTTTCAATCATCTTCTGTCCTATGGGGATCCTCGCAATGCAGGCTATCTTTCCTTTGCTCCTTATATCACCAGAATGCTCCGCTGCCTTGGCATTGACCTCGAGGATAAAGTTTCCATAGTCAATGTGCTAGATAGTCTGCGCGCTCAGCATGTTCTCCACTATGTAAACGCTAGCGTGGGGGTCTGCAAGATTGTCAATCCCCAAGGGGGAGAGAGAGTTGAAATAGGGGATGGAAATCAAACTCTCTTTCGTAACATCAATGATGATCTGGCAGCTGTGGCGAGGGCTATGAAGAAGGCCACTGGAGCATCAACTGCAGATAAAGGGAAACATAAGCTTAATAACCAAGAGATCATGGAGAGTCACTACAAGGAGGAAGGAACTCGTCCCACCACTGCTGGAATGAGTATCAAGATTCGGGTTTGTGGTGACACTTCTGCCAGCAGCCGTCTGGAAGCATAGAAGGAAGAATCTGAGCCTGAGGAAGCGTTTTCCGGAGACATATCTGATTATGAGTCTGATTCAGAGTTCGATTATTAAACTTATTTGAGAAGCCTTAGTGAGGGGGAGTCCTGCTTGTTTTGTTTTACTTTTATGTTTAAATAAGCCTACTATTCAGTACAGCTAGTATCGTGGACTGGTTGATTTGCTTAATGGAATGGATGGTTAATTTTTCCTGTGTGTCTTCCGCATTTTAAGGGAGTTTGTCTAAATATTGGTGCAGAAGTAATGTCCTTCTTCCTTTTTCGCAGATTTGGTCATTGCCAAGCTGAGGGGGAGATTGTTGACGTCAGCTCGACAAACATAGATGAGTGTTTCTCCTCCAACGGTTAGTGTCAACCAAGAAGTGATTGGACGCTGGAATCGGAGGAGCAAATCAAGCGGTGGGAGACAAGACAAGTTTGCGCCATAAGAGCTTGGAGAATCAATTATAAATGCCAAATCGTGAGATTAATTCGAGACAGCTTTTTTGCAAGGGAAAATCAGTACCGCAAAGGAAATTTTGTGTGTGATTTTCAAGTGAGAAAAGTGGTTCAGAGATAGAGAGATATATGGGTTGAAATTTATCTATCTAGAGTCTATTAGCTAGGTAACTGATAGGTGTGTGAGTGGAGTGAATCTCAATCGAGCGGGGAGCTGATTGAGGGGGAATTGATCGAATATGTAACTGTTTGTGTGTTGTAAATTCATCATCTTTAGTGAAAAGTCAGAGATCGCGGGTTCGCGAATCGCTAACCGGAGAGTAGTCGGTGCAGGGTATCATTTGGCCCTTCACAGGAAACCACGTAAAAGTTCTGGAGTCTTTTCTTATTATTCTTTGCAATCTGGGTTTGTGTCTGTGTCTATTCTTGTGTTCTTGAGTTGGTCGAAGAACAAGAATCAGAAGACACGTTTTGATTCATAAGAGCCAAAAGTTGGGTTTATTTGTTTAAATAGAATGTGGGGTGTTTAAAAGAAAGACTAGTTGTCTATTTTAAAGTCTTGTAGGGCTTTAAGCCCATTTCAGCTGTCCTCTTTTATCCAAGTCCAGAAACAGTTTGATTAGTGGTGTGTAGAACTGATATCGATCAAAACCCTTCATTTCGTGTCACACGGGTCTGTTCTTGTTCTCACAATTCCCAGGAACGAAAAAAAAAGAGAGAAGCTCACTATTGACTGCATCAAAGCCAAAAAAAGACGGGAAACCTCTCGCGCTCTAAGTACCAACACCCTTTGGGTGCATGAGTTCTCTGGTCTGCTTAACTTCTTGTTTATTTGTATCTTTAACTTTTTGTCCTTTTTGTTTTTCTGTTTGTCTTTTTGTTTGGCGCACTTGTGCTGTCAATTTTGTTTGTTTTTTAACATGCGTTACGCGTTTAATAATATTATCACCATTATAAAAAAATGTATTAAATTTAGTTTTTCTTTTGCCAAAATGAATGAAATTTTTTATCGATTAGAAATAAAGTGGTGAAATGTTTTTTACTAACAAAGTGTCACACTTAGAAATAATATATTTATTCCTTCAAAACAAATAATATATTTAATGATTAGTACCATAAAAAAAAGAAAAAAAAAACGAAACAACTCCATACAAGATCTAGGTAATATTTATTGTCATAACACTATTTTAAACAAGTATTAGCAGAAATTACAAATCATCGAAGTCCTCAATATCCTATCATTAAATCTGTTCATAGTCGGCAAGCATCCTTTAAGCGCAATATAGAGTAGGTAGATACCAAGGATTGACGACACAATTAGGGACCCACTAAAACAGTAATTCACAACAAAGTCCAGAAGAATACTAGGATGGCATTAGTAGACAAACTATATCCACACAAAATGACTTTAGATGTCGAAATCTAGAAATTTTCTAAAATAATTGAAGATAATTACGAGTGGCCTGACAATGACTTTGGCCTTCGTTGTTTTCAGCGGTGACTAAAAACAGGAGCTTCATTTTTAGTTAATTTATCCACCAAAAGCAGAAATGAAGATAAGCACGGTCAATTATTTAATTTGGATTTCACCCGTGTTATGGTTGAGAATCAGAACTACATATTGTCATAGAATCATGTTTTTCACGTCGAGTGGAATGTCAATCAACTAAACCTAGTTCGATTATATTGGTGTGATTCATTAAATCGACGTGAACATTGTCATGATCGATTTATGATCAAATTCATTTGATCTTAATGGGTTTTCACATTTATTTATATTTTGTTAAACCGATATAAACCGACACAAAACCAATTGTACCACTAGTCGAACCATTCCACTTGTTAAATCGAAAAATAGCTCCAAACTCAAATCATTTTCCGGCCTACCTCTGATAACAAACCTAAACCTCGACCATACTGTGAAGTGAGAAGTGAGAGGGTGATCTGTATTTTTAATAGAATTTTTAAGGGGCTATTCCCTTACATTTTTTTTTTTGAGATATTCCCTTACTTTTTAAGGTGACATATTTGTTCCTTTTGGATGTTGTAGCAACGTATTAAGTATTAACCAAACCATGTATGTTGTCTACATTCCCGGCTAAATTCCAACACAAACGTATCCGTACAGAAACACGTACAGGACACTAAATAAATACATACATACATATGCCTCTATATAAGACCCACCATTTCTCCACATCACCATTCTCAATAAATCGTTCCAACATCTCCTCCTTTTTTTTTTCCAATGGTGGCGACGCCGGCGACCACCGCAACCTTCCGGGAGATCCAACTCCCACAGCAAAGGCAGTTCGATTCCATCAACTTCCCCTCCGTCCTCGTGTCCTCCAATAACCTATCCTCGGCCGCAGCTACTCTCGCGGAGGTCACCGCCGCCATCAAGAGCGAGAAGCCCTTCCTCGAATCCCTCCTCCGGGAAGCCGGGGCCGTGCTCATCAGAGGACTGCCCCTGAGCTCTGCCTCGGACTTCAATCAGGTCGTCGAGGCGTTCGGTTTCGAGGAGCTGCCTTACGTCGGCGGGGCGGGGCTCCGCAACGTGGTGGTCGGCCGTGTGTTCACCGCCAACGACGCTCCTCCTCATCAGAAAATCTCCTTCCACCATGAGATGGCCCACGTACGTGTATATATATATATGCACACACCGCCATGGTCACGATCACAGGAGTCAAACTCACGATTTAAATCCTACAATCATACACTATTGGCGATACATTTAAATCGTTAAAGTTTTTGAAATCTTAAAATTTTACAATTCAAATCATTGAATCAATTTTACTTATTTCTCTAAAATTTGTTAACTTACGCCTCTTTTCCTTCTCCTTCACTGTTCTCTCACACTAATCTCCATCGATTTTACCTCCATTTTTGATGATTTCGAGATTCGAACTAATTAATGGTCTGATGATACCCTGATGTGTATGTGTTGGCAGATTCCAACGTATCCGTCGAAGGTGTTCTTCTTCTGCGAGGTGGAGCCCGGTGGCCGGGGGGAGACGCCGATAGTTCTGAGCCACGTGGTGTACGAGCGGATGAAAGTGGAGTTCCCTGACTTCGTGGAGATGTTGGAGGAGAAGGGTTTGATTTACACCAGAATCGCCGGTGACGAGGACGATCCTTCCTCCACCATTGGTCGGGGCTGGAAGTCAACTTTCTTGACGGATGACAAGGCCGTCGCTGAGGAAAGGTAAGTCAAGCCCTCTTCCACAGTCTTGGGTTATTTTCCTTTTGGTGAGAATAGATAGATAAATTTCAAATATAAGGTATTTGAAATATATATTTTTAAAATTTATGCATTTATAATACTGTAATTTGAAATATATATAATTTAAATTCGTTGTTTGGATATATACTCATTTGTATTTTATTTGCATTTTCAATTTCCTAATTTTTTTATTTTAATTTTGAACTTTTTGTCACTTACTACAAATTTTGGAAAATACATTTAGATAACCAAATTTATTTTTCCTTACAATTTTCCTAAACTTTTAAAATTTAACCAAAAGGTCCAAAAATTTTAATGGCCAAATTATATTTTGGTACCTTTATATGTTTTGCTTCACACTATAGTACCTAGACTTTTAATATCTTACAAATAGTCAAATAGTCCAATTTTGTTGTTAGGAGGTATTTCAAATCACTAGTTGTTGAACTGTATTTGAAGTTGACAAGTAATACACTAGACATGTATTTGGAAATCACCCCATGAATTTGGCACAAATCCAAATACCAAATGTAATTAATATCCAAACACATGATTTGACATTTGAAAATCCAAATCACAAATATCAAATCCAAATCATTCTATACAAACACACCCTATGAATTTAAACTCCTATAGTGTTATGATCCTTGTTATAAAAACCCAATATATGGTTGTACCAGTATAACCGTAAACACTACAAGAAACTTCACCTTTGGCGACGGGAGAGTTCGTCGCAGAAAGCTTGAAATTCAACCCAAAAGGCAGTAAAAGAGGTAAATAGTCGCAAAAGGTATTTTTGCGTTCGCGACGAATATCATTCGTCGCAAAAAGTCTTATCGCAGTCTGCGACGGCAGAGTTCCGTCGCAAAATATCTCTTTACATTTTGCGACGACATTATTAGTCGTGAAAAAGAATTGCTCGTCGCAAAACACTCTACCTCACCTCCCGCCGAATTCTGAGACAATACGCGACGAAAAATTACAATTCGTCGCAAAAGGTGACCTTTCTGCGACGAATTTCTTGTCGTCGCTATAGAATCCGTCGCAGAAAGTACAGTTTCTTGTAGTGAAAACTAGTTATAATGACGATTTGGATGATTTGTTTAGACACATAGAGATAAACTGCCCATAAAAAAGATAGGGTTAAACTCAACGATTATGAATGATTGGACATGAAATCAGATGAACTATCGCAGTTTGATTGGTTCACTATTTTTGACAATGGAAACAAAAAAGAAAACAAATTAACGAAAACTAAGATTGACTAGTCTGAATTACTAATTTTATTTTTGCTTCCTTTTCTTCGCTTTCCAATCTCTTTCTAGACTTTACATAGTACACTACCGATTGCCGCACCAATTATTAACTTCAATTTAATAAAAAAGTTATTGATATTTTTTGACACAGTTTGAATGATTTGTTAGAACTTTTGATGATATAGGTACGGATTTGAATTTTTTTATGATTAGTGACAAATCCAGTCCTAAATTATTGTATTATATATGTATTTTATGTTATAGCATACAAAGAATTCCTATCAACAGTTATATAACACTTAAATGTTGAACTATAAATAACTAACTTTTCCTGTTTAGCTTCACATCCGCTTAAAAAAAAAACGGTTATGATTAGTAAAGGAAATTTAATTATCTGGAATAACCATTTGCTCCGATTAGAAATTGTAGCATAATATGTTTTTGTCAACGAAAATGAATGATAATTAGCTAGCTATCAAAAAATGGTTTGGCCATCTGGTAACTTATGTAAATCGAGGACAAATTGCTTGAAATGAAGGACATTCTTTGGATGTTAATTACTCGACATGACTAAAAGTTGATGAATTTGATCGGTGGAAGATTTCGAATTGGGTATGGACGTATGGTATGTCAAATTAAAGCTGGAACAAGCACTGAGTGCAGGGCGGAGAAGGTCGGGGTGAGGCTGGAGTGGCGGGAGGGAGAGATCGGCGGAGGAGCGAAGACGGTGATGGGGCCCATCCCGGGGGTGAAAGTGGACGAGGCCAGGAACCGGAAGACGTGGTTCAACATGATGGTCGACGCCTACATGTGCTGGGACGACGCTCTCAACGACCGGAAGAAGGCCGTCACGTTCGGCGACGGAGGCTACCTGCCGGAGGACGCCGTCCGCGGCTGCGAGAGGATATTTGAAGAGGAGAGCGTCGCCATTCCTTGGAAGAAAGGCGACGTCTTGCTGATCGATAACCGCGCCGTGCTTCACGCTCGCAATCCGTTTGACCCTCCTAGAAGAATCCTTGCTTCCCTCTGCAAGTAGCCAATTGAGCGAGGAGAGGAAAATAATGTTTCTTCGTACTGAATAACTAAGACATGGTTGGTGGTCATATCATGTATTACGAAGGTGGTGGATTTTTAGAATATATGTATCTTGATGATGGGGCTTGTAAGAATATGGGTGACTTAAGAAGATAATGTTTGATTTCCAAACTTTGTTACAATAAAATATTGAATTGCTATTGGTCGTCCTAATATTTTAAAAAAATCGCCCTAATTTATACTAAAATTACCTTATTGCCCTCTCATATATTTCGTCACAATTCATAAACCTAAATCCCTTCAACCTGCCGCTGGCCACCATTATCGCCGCTGCTGCTCGGAGAAGGAAAGGAGGAGACTGCAGAAGAAGAAAATTGTCCCCACCCTGCTGCTACGGGTGACCGCCGCCTCTCGCCCACTGCACAGTGCCATCGACTCAGCCGCTAACCACCATTACCGCCGGCCGCCGCTGTTGTTCCCCAAACCCGTCGGAGTACCATTCCCCGACCCACCATCGCTCTATCTCCCCATTGCGCTGACCCTTCGATCGTGGCCATCAATCAACTACGGGAAGAAGTAAAAGAACCCAGAAAAAATCATCAATCATCTCCACCTTGTAATCACTCATCATCCTAATTTTCCCATATAAAAACCAGAGAAAAGAAAATTAGAAAGAAAACTTGGGCGTAATCCAATTGACAGAAGAGCAATTCCTTAATCAAAGAGAATCCCAAGGTCCAAACCCAATCCTTCGATCATGATCGTGAAAAATTGCATGGTTGTTCTCAAGCACGATCCGCCGCGATAAGCGAGACGAAGACTCGAGCAACATAGGATTTTTTTTTTCTCCGGTGAGGTGGCCGACACCGACAACTGAGTGGATGTATGTGGTGATTTTTTTTGGATTGTTTTAGAGTTTAAGATCGAAAGAAAAAAATATAAATTAAGGGTATTAGAGTAAATTTAATATAATTAGGGCGACGAATAAGAATTTTTAGGGCGACGAATAGCAATCCCCATAAAATAGGGTTAATTGCATGGTTGGTCACTGATATTACAAAAAACGTTCATGTTTGGTCACTCGAAATATTTAAATCCATTTTTGGTCATTAACTTTACAAAAACCGTTCATTTATGGTCACTCTCCGTTAGCTGCCGTCCAACGCCGTTAACGGCGTCCGTTAAGTGATGACGTGGCTGACGGATTCGCCTAATCAACACATTTTAACCCGAAAATTGACTGACCCGACCCGTCACGTCATTTAAACCCTCCATGTCAGCTAAACCTAACCAAACCAGACCCGACCCGACCCAACCCAACCCAACCCACCAACCCATCTATCTTAATGATAACAGAGCATCTACTCGTCGGCGGCAGCATGGTGTGGATGTTGGGGCATCACGCCGCTATTAGCGATGGTGACGGATCCAAGCAACTTGCTCAACTCCTCGTCGTTCCTCACCGCCAATTGCACGTGTCTCGGGACGACTCTCGTCTTCTTGTTATCTCTCGCCGGAGCACGTCTTCCCGGGAATTGATGACCTCGAAGAGATGCTCCGCCGTGGACCGGTCCACCGCCCGACCCGCACTACGCCATATCCGGATCTGGATCTTGTCGCGGAACTGGCCGTAGCTGTCTTGTAGAAGGCGGCGAAGATGCTCCCCCAGGCGTCGGCGCCGACACCGACGATACGGAGAGGGTCGCCGTCGGCTTTGCCCAGTAGACGCCGCAGCTCGTCGAGCTTCTCTTCCTGCCCGGAATTGGCGTCGTTGGTTGATTGGTGAGTTGGTGAGTTCCCATTCTGCTGATGATGATGATTATTATTATTATTGACACGCCAAAACACAACACCAAACTGCGACCAAGTGTAATCGCAGTCCGGGAATGCAGTAAAGTGGCAAGTTCTAAATATCAACCCGGGGTCTAGATCTACTGCCTACTCCGTGATTATCTATTATCTAGCAAACTAAGTCAATTGAATTTGGTCTTAACTGAAAGCACAAAGAAAACAGGAATTGATTCGGTTTTCTCAAGCAAAGGAAGAGTCACTCGGGAATGAGTCCCCCTAGCTCCTTAGTTAGGTCTCAGTGTAATTACCCTGGGTTGATTTACTATTGATTAGACTGTGGAAGGTCCGACAGTAGCTTGGAATCTCTTAAACTGATCAAGCCCTCTCAGTCTAACTACCCGGCAGACGACTAGTCTTCACCGGGATAGAAAGATGAAGCAATAAGCACAGAACTCCACTACTGGAATTGGATTCCAGTACAAAGTAGTAGACTGGCTAACTCTCGTATAACCAATCCACTACTAACGAATGATGAAGCTCTAACAACCTAATTAGATTCTATCTATCTCAGGTTGCAGCAGAAATCAAGAAAAGCTGATCAGACTTCAATTAATTCAATGAAACATGCATCATTCGATTAGAACCAAACATTATAATCATCCCAAGTCATTACAATCATGATCCCTAACACATGGAACTAGGGTTCTTCGTACCCAAGTGAAAGAAGGGTTCTACTCCATAGAGAGAGAGAGGAAAACAGAATACATAGCAGTCATACTCATAACAATGGGAAGAATCTGCCTTGGGATGATGATTTCCACTCCTATGATGATCTCCAAGCTCGATTTGACGAAACCCAGCTCCAAGATCGCTTCTAGGATGTGTTCTTTGCACTTTCTCTCTCTAGGGCTCTGTTTTTGCTCTGAAAATTCGATTCTCTCACTTGTGGCTTGAAATTGGGTAAAAACCAGAATTCCCGACTCACACGGGCAGGCCACACGCGGTGTGATTGGTGTCAAACCTACTTGTAGCGGTGTTGATGAATTGTCCTATCATATCTTCAAGCTTTGTCAAACGATTATCTGATGATCAGCCTTGATCCAAATAAGTACCTTGGCTTGAAGATGGGTTGTCTCTTTGAAATTGATCTTGCATCAGTGCTTACCCTACCGGGAGGTTTCCTATCCGATGGTGAAGACCATAAAAAGTTAGTATGATTCCTCCATCCCGGCTTGAAGGTAGCATGACTCGTCCCGACTACCACAATTAATTTCCCGTCTAAGGTCCAAGTATAAACCTTAGTGGAGTGCAGTATAGGATAAGTATGTTTAAATATCAACTCGGGCCGGTCCGTCTACCTATACTTCAGTCATTTGAATCATTATCTAGCAAAAAAGTTTTGATTTAAAACTTTGCTAATTAAAGTAAAATAAGGCAAATAGTTTTGTAAACTCTTTTGTGGAAGGATTACTCCGGTATCGCTTCCCCCTGACTACTACCATGGTATGTGAATTGGAATGATTGCTTCGGGCAAGGTAACCGCGAACTGCAGAAGGATGCATATATGGTCGGAGACCACAATCTCAATTGCTAAACCGAGGTAAACATTATAGGCCGTGTCACTTGACCCTCTCGGTTTAGGCAATTGGTAGTTGACTTACTCCCTCACTCAACTCAAGGGTCGGACGGTTTAAACGCGATTAACCAATTTGCTTAATTCAACATTGAGGATTGCCCTAAATTAACCTAGTTAGGTGGGTTAAAAAGCTGAAGGAAAATCAACTCGATTGAGTCTCCCTTGGAAGGGGGATTTTCCTCTCTAAGCTAGGTTAAGGTGGCTAATTAGATTGCTAGCACCAACAAGCACAAACCTAAGGATGCTAAGCACAATTATGCACAATCCTTAGGTTGCTAAGCACCAAAATGCACAAACCTAAGGATGCTAAGCACATAACATGCACAACCCTTAGGTTGCTAAGCACAAGCATGCACAATCAACATGAATAATACCTCAATCATTCAATTAAACAATACCCAATGACAATCATTCAATTCACATAAAAGAAACAGACACAACCCGGTCTTTTTAGAAAACCAAACCATAACTCAAACCAAAAACCAGTTACTCCGGAGCAACCTAAACAACTTTTTAAAATAAATAAACTGACAATGTTTAAGAATTTCAAACAAAAAGACTGAACACCTGGGAAAATGACAATCCCAATACTTAAAATGAAAGAACTCAGGATCTCCAGTTTACACTCCTAACCATGTAACAAGGAAATTAAACTATTCTAGTTCTGACTCTTCACGAGTTCCTTGACTTCTCATCAATGCTGGTGCAGCTGCTCGCATCGCCTTGCCTCTTCTTGCAGTCCGCCTCCGCTAACCCTTCCTCGACCTGGTGAGTGAGAAGGGTCAGTCTCGTCGTTACTTCCTAAGGTCTTTGCCCTAGGCAAACTCCTTACTAACACATTATTAGGGGAAATGCCTTCCTTAGACGAAAGTCGTTCTCACTTTCATCCTTAAAACTGTACTATCAAACAGTCTATAAGAGATCTCTACTCCTATCTTATCTTTAGAGTTCCCTTACTTATATTCTTAATAACTCCTTTCAACTTTAACTCATAGAGGTTCTCAACTTTTATCCTTAACTCAAACACAAAACACTAGGACCACCGCGTTACGTCTCGCCGTCCGGTTGCATACCCAAACTCGGCAATGGCACTGCGTTACGTCTCGCCGTCCAGTCCATGCCCGTCAACTACTGCATTACGTCTCGCCGTCCAGTAGTGACCCCAATATACTCGATCAACTGCGGTGTTACGTCTCGCCGTCCAGCAGTGATCCGACCATCTACTACGTCCAGTAGTGGCCCAACCGCCCGGGGGTTCCTCATACCATCAATCCATACAACATCACATACATTCATACATAGCACAACGCGTGCCTCCACCCTTACAGGCGGTGGGATGCCTCACACACATATCGCGCAATACTAAAAAATTAACGAAACTACTATAAGTAAATGCATAAACTAAAGACCTCGACGGAGATTTTACCCCCTTTACACTCACCTCGAAAAGATGACTCCTCAATTCCTTCCTTGAAGAAACCCCTCCTTAGCCGGATTATCTTGAGGAAACCTATTAATAAAAATTCATTTTCTTAGAAGACATTTCTTGATTTAAAACCCCTTTTGAAACACTAGAACATCCTCTCCTCAAACTCCCGCCCTTGAACCTCATTCCAAGGGTCCTTTAACCCCATTAAAATTTTCTAGAATTAATCACCTAAAAAACGACCATTTTTCTTAATTATATTTATCTTGGACGAATTCTTCACCTAACTTGAACCTTCTTATAATTTTGTAAAATAATTTTAACATGTCAATCATGAGCACCTATACCCTATACAATTATCAAACCCTAAAAAAACCCTCGGAAAGATTTTTATTTAATTAAAAAGAATATTAGAACAATTTCTAAAAATAGAAATACATCTTCAAAAATTGTCAAATTAAATCAAAGCTATCTCCTGAACCTCCCTCAATTTATAAAATTATAAAACTCAGTACAAAACACCCACATAACTCGAAACAATTAAAACATCCAAAAATACGTTTCTGAAATTTCCAGCAGCTTTAGTGACCACCAAAAAGCTGTCACTAAAAGCCTGGAACGCCCGTTGCTAAAACCCAGAATTGCATCCTCAAGAAAAATCACCAAATCGATCGATCTAACTCAAAGGGATCAAGTTCCCTTACCTCTAGAACGTGCCTAGGCCTAGGTTGGATGACCCGGGACGTTGATCTCCTCGTTGATCGAACCCTCAAACGTCACCGTTAATAAAATACGAGCTTCGGGTTAGACTCTCGATAAATCGGGTTTAAAAATCGAGAATGGATTCGTGATCCTTACCTAAAACGAAAGGGATGGGGTCGGGGTTGGGATCGGAGTCGGGTACAGGGAGGCCGCGGCTCTCTTTCTTCTTCTTTTTTTTCTTCTTCTTCTTTTTCCTTCTCCGCCTGTGTTGGGGAGTCGGACAGGCGGCTGGGGTTTTTGGGGTGAGGAAACTTGCTGGGTGGGAAAAAATAGGCTGGAGACAAATTATGATGGGGAAAAATTGAGGGCCGCCCACTTTGTTTCCTTTCTTTTTTTATAATTAATATAATAATAATAATTATATTATTATTCTTAATCCGCGATTGTAACTCTTAGTACTTAACCTTCAACCCAACCGATCATGTATTAAAGTCGAACCTAAATCTAAAATACCGGGGTGTTACAGAAACTACATGGTAGAGTTAGGGTTTCGCAACACTCAAGTGAAAGGAAATCTACTTCATGCTAAAATGGGGAAAACACAAAGAGAAGAGGTAGAAACCATCTTGGAGGATGCTCCCAATCTTCTTGGCCCTTATGCTAAACTTTCATTGGAGAAAATCTTCACAAAATCCACCTTGAAGCAACCCCCTCTCTCCTCCTTTCCGCTCATCTTTTAAACAAGATACAAGCTCAGTTCCCGGCCGTGAACCATGAAACACGTCAGTGAACTGCAGGCGTGCGCCAAAACACATCGCTACGTTCACTTCTGTTCACGGTCAAGAGCCTCCGTTCACGGTCTTAGTGACCGTGAACTCACCTTGCGTCAGTAACTTCTGGAATTGCTCTGGACGCCTTGAGTTTCACGGTCAATGACTCTTCTTCACGGTCATGCAAGACCTTGAACTTCCTGGGAAAGCCGTGAACTTGCCATTTTTCACCTCTTCTCTCGGTTTTCGATCCTTTTTGTTCAACTTTCGACTCTGAGGCTGGTTTCACCTGTTAAATCCTGAAACATGCTAAAACACGAGAAACCTCGCGTAAAATCAACCTTTTAGGAGAGAATTTGCCACAAACATCTAAGTAAAACGGGGGTAAAACATGTACAATTAGGCCCGAATCACTCCTCCACACTTAGACGTTTGCTTGTCCCCAAGCAAACCATTTCACACAAGGTAATATTTCAACCTACACAAATACTTTGGGGACAACTCAAAGGGCACAAAGTGGGAGTTCACAATGCCTATTAGCAATTAACACATGGACCATTGCAAGCAATACCGACATCCACCACAAACGACATTCGAAGCCAGAAAAAAACGGTAAACGAAAATTTCTCACCTTGTTCATGGATCAATGCAAGTCTCAATGAAACCACTTATCAACCACAACTAACCATGCATGGAATTCAAGTCCAAGGAACAAACGGGAAGGCAACCAAGGTCCTCACCGGGATTTTATATGACATGCAAAACAAGAATGAATCACTCACTCTCGGGACCTTTTTGGTGCCAAAAGATGTGCACAACATTAACTCTCAGCCCTATCGTCTCAACACCACGGCGGCTACCTCTAAATGCTAGAGTTCACGGAATGGTTGTCATCACTAGCTTGTCCGGAGGTCTTAGACACGGGTTCAGATGACTGGCAATTGTCTTGGACATGGGAAAAAAGCTTTTTGGGTGGTGGAAATCATGACGTTAGGTTCTACATGTTCAACATAAACCCGAAGGTTCTATGGTTTCGACTAAAACCCTTCTCTTCAACCAAAAGCCACTAGTATCGTCCAAAAACCTTATCTCTCCTTTCCAAACTATCACCATCGTGAACTACATTGAAGCACTATTTCTCGATCTACTCTTGCTATCATCTTCCGATTTGGTAGCGAAGGAGTTATAAAACAATGTTGGGGTCTCAATGGCTGTGCCAAGAAACCCCTCCTAGAGCACTCTCTACTTTATTTACCCCATTTTATTATCTCTTTTTCATTTCTCTTTTCTTTTCTATATTTTTATTTTTATTTTTGAGGAGGGTACTAGAGAGTAAAAACACTTACCACCTATACATTTAACGACCAATGCTCTCTTTTTGAAGAACTCACTCCAACACTACACTTCATTTTCCATTCCTAGTAAGAACTGTACACAATCCTCCTATGTAGAACCTCAAAGGAACTCAAAATCGAAAGCTCTGGGACACAAGGACGACTCATGTTTAGACACCTCATTGGTGGGGCTCGTTCTATTAACACCGTTAAGCTCACAAGCAAGAAGCTCCTAAATTGAGAATGACCCCCAAAGTCACAAGGCTCAAAGGGGTTGACTAAGGGATAACACATTTCGGGACAATCAACATTTGGGTGTGGACTAATCCTATGCCTCCATCATACTTACGAGTGACAATCGTGATGTTACACACCATGGTAAGAGGGATCTAAGCAAACAAGAAGAAAACGATCGACTCAAATCTCACAAGGCTACCTAGTCACCCAACCATCTATTCCAATTCACAAACACGATGCATGGCAATTGTAATCAACAAGTAACCGAGTCAAGACATCCATTCATTTATGCACACATGAGAAATAAACTTTTGCATTATCCTAATGAACCTCTCAATCATCATCATAGGATATACTCGATCACATGCAACAATTCAAGATCAATGGCAATAAACACGAGAATTTCCCACACACCGGCCACTTTGATCATGCAAGCATTGCTTGGAGCCCTCAAATTTTTGAAATTTGGGCATATATCAAGTCTCCAAGCATCACCACACTCACACAAGCATAATAGTAAACTACCCCCCCCCCCCCTCACACTTAAGATCGACATTGCCCTCAATGGCATAAGAAAAGGGTAGAATGATGTTACCGCTTGGGCTTGGTGAGTGAAAGTTGGATTTGAATCCGCGGTAGGAAATTTTGAGCTTCAAGTAGAGACAAAAAAACACACATAAAAAACACAATATGACTCGCTCGAGGCGAGGTTATTACATAACACAACACAAAGTAGTAGTAGTAGTTCAAGGTCACAAACACACAAAATAAAGAAAAAGAACAAAAACAAGTTCAGGGTTACAAGTGGAGAAGTGTGGCGAAAGGATTCAGCTCTACCATATGTCTCACTCTTCGGCTACCTCTCTCGGGTGGAAGGACCCTTGTCCTCATCTGGGAGGATACCCTGGCGTCGAGCCATCAGCTCGAGGAGATTAGTCTGCCGGTCAAGGAGGGAAGAGAATCCCACAAAGTTCGTCTCTAGGCGATCCACCTTCAGGACGAGGGGATCGCCTGCTGCTAGTGGTGGTAGCTTTGCGGGACGTTGGAGCGCTGGACATCGGGGGCGGTAGGGTGCACGAGCATGCGGCTGCACGGCTGGTGGTGGTACCTTGTGGTCTGGTTTTACTAGAGTTGGGTCAACTGCAGCTCGGATGACACCTAAAGGTCGGATTCCCTCAAGGTACTCCACTTCTCGCTCTCCCTGGAGTACCACCTTCTGGTTGTAGAGTGTCTCCACTGGAAAGGGAGTCATATTCCCGAAGCTGGTACACCCAACTAGATTCACTTGGAAGTGTCGGGCTATCCTCGTGATGAGGCCCTACATGTGCATCATGTCCACTCTATTCCGCCCCAAACACCGGGCGAAAGAAGTGGCTATCAGGGATCCCAGATGGATCGGCGCAGCAGAACTCCTCATGGAGTATAGAGCAATGAGCCCTCTGTTTGCCATCAGATGACCGGACTGGCTTTTGGGGACGACGGAATTGGTGAGCAAAGTGTGGAGGATCCTCAACTGGGTCTTCAGCTTCACCGCATTGGTGCGGCTCCCCGTAAACTCGACGTTCTCATGCTCGGAGCTGTAGCGGGCCTGGAATGCCCGCTGATAGTCAAATCAACCTCACTTCACTACCTAATCCTATACTCCACAAAGTAATAAGGTAAAGCCGAAAAAACAACCAAGAGACACAATTAGGACGTAGGAGGAAGTGAGGCTCGGGCGAGGAAGGCGAAAAACTGCCAAAAAACTGACCGGAGAGAGGTCGCCGGAGCTTCGTCGGAGACTCGCCGCTGGTGACTTGACCAGAAAAAATATGCCCCAAATCTCCCCAAAATTTCAGAACAGGCCGGTTTTGATGAGGGGAAGCTGGGTATGACGTTGGTTTTGGGTTTTGCTAGCCGAAAATGGGGGAAAATCGAAAAACCGATGGATTTTCGCGTTGTTCCGACGAAGATTTGAAAATTTTTGGCGATATTTGGTCGTGAAGTGAAGAGTCGTTGTTCACGCCCCTTTTATAGGCATGGCTCTGAGTTCACAGATGCGTTGCCCAGTTCACGGTCTTAGAGACCGTAAACGCTCAAGCGCGTCCGTGAACTGCGGTTGCTCGACAAGTGGTGAACATGCAGAAGTGTCCAGCTCACGGACGTGTTTGAAAATGCAGAGTTCACCACTCGAATTCTTCACAAGAACTAAAACGAAACATTGCACCAAACGTTGACGCACATTGCACCAAACGTTTGCAAACTTTTTTGCAAGTAAGCATCTCTCCATCATGACCAAAAGCAGATGGATTATTTCCTTCCCTTTCAAGGTCACATGTGGGGAAGTTGATGGGTGGATTCGTCTTAGCCCGAGCATTACTTCCCAGCTTGCACTTTACATTAGGTTGCCACACATATTGGGTACAAATGAGAGTTTGAGGTCTCTTGAATTGCTAAAAAGTACTTTGTACCTTGCCATACGATTTCGTGAGGAGGAAATTATTTTTGGGGACGGTAAGTAGTAAAATATGGTCGGGACGTGGTAAAACTTTCCGATCCCCAAACATATCCTCAAATGGCACTCTGATCGCAGAGGATCGGTTGCCTCTAAGAACCTCTTTTCAAAATATTTTTTTCAATAATAAGCACAAATTTGTAGAATTTTCGAGTTAAAAAATGATGGATAATCCCACACACATATTCTTCCTAAAATATCAAACATTATCAACTCACCAAATAGGAAGCAGAAAGTAAAATCCTTCATGCACCGGTACTCTAATCATGCAACTACTCCGTAGCTAGCACAACACATCAATCATCTAACAATTCAAAGCATATTGAGTAGGGAGTTGCAAGGAACAAGGTGTTTTGACCCTCAAATTTGAAAAAATTTGCGTAATGCATTCAAGGTTCCAAAATACTATCAATAAGCCATTCAATCGATAAGTAGATAATATAAGTACGATTATTACTACTAAAATAGTATTTAGGGTATGAAAATTAAAACAAAAAGAAAGCAATAATTAAAAAAAATAAAGGAAAAGAAAAGAAGAGCGAAGAAAAAGAAAAGATAGAACTTAGGCACTGGATGCCTAGTACTCAATCCTCCTCGGAAGGTCCTTCTTCTTCTTCTTCTTGGAATGGCGAAAGGGGAGGTGAGCGAACAAGTTGAGGAGATACATTTTCAATTGGGATATACATCTTCTTCATTATAGCATGGATGCATGCCATGATATGTAGTCGCGCTTCCTTCTACCTTCTTTGATTGTGAAGGATCACCGCTATCATTGCTTCAAATAAAAAATCCATTGCATGGTTGAACGTTGGGGGAACCAGATGAGAAATTGATGGGTGCGCCTCTCCTCCCTCATACATGTTTTCGACTTGTTCTTCTTCATTTACTAGCCCACTTCGTCCTCTTACCGTCGTAGCTTCTGGAAGACGAAACATGGTACCCTCCATGTCCAACGTGTTAGTGGTGGGAAATGGAAGTCCACGTACTCCCCAAATGCCATCGTCATTCAAATGTAGCACTTTAATTCTGGATTTCAAGATGTCAAAGGATAAAGGAGTGGTCCTACTATCCAACCAAAATTGGACGGCCTAGAAATCGACTTTGAAATACTTTGCAAGACGAGTGGCGAAAACTCCTCCATGAAGGGCAGTGAATCGAGGGTCCATTTCATAATGCTTGAAGATAGATAAAATTGCTAAACCAAGGTGAAGTGATTGAGGTAGATGCATGCTTTGGAATAAAATGACATATCGGGCAGTAAGATTGCCTTTGATTCGGTTCTTTCCTCCCACGGACCTAGCAATCACATTGTGGATTAACCGCTCCTCCGGTTTCAGCTACCAAAGGCTTGATATCCAAAGGTGTACTGTTAGACTTCTTGACTTCAGATTCATAAAAGGCTTGAATGGGAAGTCGGATTCGGTTGTCAAGAAACAAAAGCGGCTGGTGAGTCAACGAATTCAGCTGGGTAAATATCCATGGCTCTTGTAAATTCTCAGATCGACAGTTGGCGATGTTCTCCTCCTAGTTTTAATTGGATGTTGTCTTGAAGCTTGACGGCACCTCACATATCTTGAATGGTGAGAGTGCTAATGAATTCCAGAACAAATGCCTGGTAGATGTTTTCTTGAATGGATAACAATTTAATTCACTCCAATTTTTGAATTTAGAACAGAGTGCATCTTCAATGTACTCTCGCCTAGAGGGAGCCCTTGAAGACACTATAGTTTGATCTTAAATTGCTAGGGGACATTGTCCAAATAAAAATGACCGAGGTGCTCCATGCCGCCTCTAACATTGGTTTGATTCTCTTGAGGAATTTCCCTTGCTAGATGGAGAAAGAGAGTGATGGTGGATTTGATTCTTCAATAACTACTTTGTTTGATTCTGATTTTCTTTTCTTCTTCCAATGGTCTTGGCGAGAATGAGAGTTTCGAGAATGCTCCATGTTAAAAGAACTTTCTCCACAAGCCAAACCCTTGTTTTTGTAAGTTATCCTTCAAAACAAGTAATACAAATGCACAAACCATTAATCCAAACATCACATACCATAAAAATTACTTCCACATAGCATTGATCAATTCTCTAAGCTCCCCCACACTTGAGTGAAACTAAAGCTTTGGCAAAAGAAAGGACCTAGAGGGAGTTAGAGTTCAATAGAAAGGATAATCCTAGAATCTCATTAACCAACACAAATCAGGGAAACAAGAATCAACAAGTGTATTGAAGTCAAGGTTCAAAGAATATGATCGAAGGAAAAGACAACTAAGTGGTTGGGGAATTTCTTCGAACACTTGGTGGGAGCTCTATGCAGGCTCAAAATTTGCATGGAAATAACCCACCAAGGTCTCCCAAAATGCATAGCAAGATCACTAGAGCAAAGAAAAAATCCTATGTCATTAGAAGTTCATCCCAAAGTCAAAATGAGTCTTTGAATTTCTCAAAGCACTCAACACATTTTGAGGCAAATTACGTAATTTCAATGTAGGAAAAATGAAAAAGTGTACCTCATCTTGATAGGAGGCATAATGAGATTCCAAAAATGATAGAAAATACTTCACAAAAGAATGTGAAAAGCATAGTAGAAGAAGTAAGCTCAACAAGCTAATAAAGGTAGGGAAACATGGCATTGAGATCTAAAAATGGGAGGGAGAGAATACACATGGTTGCAATGTAAAGCTTTCCCTTAAATAAGAACTAACAAGATCGCAGGCAGCAGACACATAATCGTGACCGTGATCTCTGACATGCCGACCGCGATCTTTGCTCTGAACACAAAGATCATGATTTCACCAAACCCTAAGCTCAATCGTTCATCTAAATCAATCAAACATCCAAAGAACGCGACAAGGCAAGTTATAAGTCCTAAAAAATTTCATCCATACAACTTTACTCCTCTAGTTAAACAATTATTTGAAAACAAAAAGGAAAAGATACGCAAATCGAATCATTGGGCTACCTCCCAACTAATGCTTCTTTAAAAGTCTTTTTCGCCGAACTTGACTCCTTGAGATCAAGAGATAAGCGCTCCATTCCCCAACGATGACTCTTCATAGAAATCATACTTGTGTTGTAGTCCTAAATAAAGACCATAGAGTCTCTCGTATGCCTCGTCCAGTGGTTGCGATTCAAAAGTCATGTCGAGGAATGATGTTCATGAATAAAGCGATTAGACTCCCTTGCACAATTGCCTTCATCCGTGAATGACTTACAGTATTCCTTAGATTCTTCATATTCAAGAATGGAGTAGCTTGCTCACGCTATGTTTCTCCGTTTTGTCCCAGACTTTTCCCTTGGGGTTTCTCTCGTCCACGACGAACCTTCTGAGTTCCCTTCTATTCTCCGAGGCTTGTAGAGAGACTTCACACGACTCTTGAAAACCCCCTTTTGAAAGGAAACTTTTCCTTCCCCGTTCTCTTCTTAAAATTGCAAGAATTATCCATACCTTATTACCTTCAACTCTCCTATCTTGAGAATCACCATGAGAGACCATATTGAACTATTCTATCTCGGGGCTTGAAGGTGGTTTGGAACGATGTGTGACCGGCTCACAATCAATCTTCAAATCTTCCCACTTGAAGTACTTGTAAAAATTGGGGATTGGATTCATCTTATCTCCTCCTCTCCAAACCTCAAGGTGATCTTGCTCCCAATCACATTGATAATGGTCATTGTCGTAGCCAAGAATGGTCGGCCTAGGATTATTGATGCATCACATCTTTTCGTGTCAACAACCACAAAGTCAACATGATAAACAAAATGAACACATTTCACTAAAATATTTTCTATGATTCCACTTAGCTCGACAACGGACCTATTTTCCAACTCAATCCGCATTTTAGTAGGTATGAGTAGTCCAAGGTTCAACTCATTGTATAATCTTGTAGGCATGATATTGATACTATATCCCAAATGTGCTAGCGGATTCCAAAAAGTTTTGACTCTGAAAGTGCATGGAATAGTGAAGATTCCCATATCTCTTAATTTCAGTGGGAAGCATTCACATCCAATGGATGTCGAGGCAACTTCACTAACAGAGACCATAGAAACTTCTTCCATTTTCCTCTTCCCCGATAATATCTCTCTCAAGCACTTAGTACGCTTCGGAATTTTCAGAACCATGTCTAAGAAAGGGATAATTACCTTCAATTGCTTCAAGGTGTCTTTCTGGTATCCTCTCTTACCTTCAATTGCTTCAAGGTGTCTTCTTCTCATACAACTTCACTTTGAACCTCTCTTATCGGTATCCTTGAGGTTGGAATAGTAACCTCCTTAAGAGGTCGGCCACTCGTTAGAGTTACCGCGTTACAACCCTCTTTGGGATTAGGTTTGGTATTTCCTGGGAAAGTTTCTTGCGGTCTAGACGAAATACTTTGTGGCAATAAGCTTAGTTGAGCTTCAAGATCTTGAAGCAAAGCTTGTTGATTTCTTTGACCCGCTTCCAAAGTTGAGAAGTTTGTCGTGGTGCTCCCTATGAATTTGTCAATAGCCTCAAATTTCTTGGTGGTGTGTGTAACGAACTGACCTACCAAATATTTGAGCTTAGAAACTCGACCATCGAAGGGTCGACCTTGATCTTGATAAGCTCCTTGGTACGAAGGTTTACTCGGCCTTGGATAAGTGTTTTGCATAGGGGTTTGAGATTGAAACCACGGAGCTTCCTATCCATTGGAGAAGACCAAAGAAATTTGGGATGATTCCTCCAACCTGGATTATATGGAGATCTATATGGGTTGTTCCATCGTGATTGCCCTACAACAAAGTTTGCTTCCTCAAACTGAAGTGAGGCCTCACTCATGGATTTACACTCTCCTACATAGTCTGACTCGAGCCACCACACCAATCACATTTCATGAGTTTCTTTCCATTGTCTTTCATAGATGTGAAACTTGATCAGTTTTCTTAACGAGTTGTTGTATATGGGCCGCTAGCGAAGATGGTTGTTCGATTTTCAATAAGCTTCCTTTCTTGACACTCTTACCTCTTCTTCCATCACCCCAATCGTAGTTGTTTAGAGCCATCTCTTCAATTAGTCTTTGAAGTTAACCAACTTCATTGTTCATGAAGGCAACTCCACTAGCTGCATCGATAAGCTTCCATGACTCCCTTGTTAAACCATTGTAAGAGCTTTCCACTTGAAACCAATCGGCAATACCGTGGTGTGGAAATTTGAGTAGAAGTGAGGTAAACCTTTCTCATGCTTCAAACAATGGCTCATCCTCCTCTTGACGGAACATAGTAATCTCACTTCTCATTAGAGCCGTCTAAGAGGGTGGAATATACCTTGTGAAGAACTTATCACGTAGATCCGCCCATGAGGTGATGGAGTGATGGGGATGGTTATTCAGCCATTGCTTTGTCGCTCTATTTGAAGTAGACTAGAATAACCTCAAACGGATTTCCTCTTGAGGAATCTCGTTTATCTTAATTCCATCCATCAACTCGTAAAATGACTTTATATGCGCTTGAGTGTCTTTACTCATCAACCTATTGAATTAAACCTCACTTTGAGGCATAGAAATTGTGTCCGATTTTATGTCATGTTGTTGTCCAGCACCGGTGGGTGAAGAATTAGTGATTGAACATTATCCACACTTGGCCTTGAGTTAGCCCTTGGTGGAACTTGAGGTTAACGTTGTTGATCCGCCATTGGAGGAGGTTGATGTCTCGCAACTCTTCTTAGATTCTGAAGGGTTCTCTCGATTTCTGTATCAAGAGGCACTAACTCCAAAGAGTTCCTCCTTCGATAATACAAGAGTGCTTAAAGACACAAACTCAACGACCCGCGACGTACAAAGTTGGGTAAAAAAATACAAAATGCTAAAAATTACGAAAAATAACAAAAAGACAAACAAAGAAAATAAAGACTAAACTAACAACAAGATGGCTTTCTACTAGTTACCGAGGTTCCCCGGAAATGGCGCCAAAAATCTTGATTGATTCATTATGTGCACGTCATTGTCAGTAGTTTGAAGGTCTCAATAAATACCCCACCCTAGGACAATTTTAACCTAAAATGGCATTGTCATATAGTGGCAAACAAGATCTTATTCACTCAGGTCCCGATACACTAGCCTACTTCCCACGTTGTTGTTAACTAGCCGGTCGGTTTAAGGAAGGTTTGTGTTGGAGGGTTCAAGTGAAATACTAATAAAGAGAATAAACAAGTAATAAAGTAGTTACTTTGGGGAACTAACCCTCACCCTAGCCTAGGTCTATCATGAAATGTCTAAATAAGTTGGGTTAAGTGAATGTGCCGAGTGAGCTCTTTTCTGTTGGCCTTCGTGATTATCCACACACTTTTGAGTATGCCTCCCCTAAACCCATCTTAGTCACCTCGATCTAGGCTATCGTATCTGAGGCTTTATGAACATAGCTCCTTTCAATGGGTACTACCCACTGTCCACACCGAGGTTTCATCCTGGGTTCCATCTAGGAAGGCATTCTTATGGCAGAGGTACGATCGCCTCGTCCACCACAAGATCCTATTCATTCATCTAACCCTATTCTGCCAGATGGTGCATACCTGTCTAACCTTAAAACTCCATACCCAGCTTAGAAGCTCAAGTAGGCTAGTAGAGAAGATTAGGTGAATTACTCAAGCATAATTAAAGCTAGAGAAGCATTAAAATCAACTAGACAAACATATTAATTCAAAACCTAAAATATTCATTCATTACACAGAAGAAGTTGGGGGAAGACTTGATGTTGTGGAAGATGGCTCCCCCCTTATAGCTTCTCTCTCTGAACCAGAAATTTGTATCTCCAAATAAGCTCTCTTACATGGGGGAAGGCGTCCTCTATTTATATATTTCAGGGGGCAGACAATTTCTTGGCTGAACAGGTGGGAGATTACGGTCGTGATCTTCTTCTCTGAGATCGCGATCTTCAGGCGTCGCTGTTTGGTCTTCGGATGCTGGGAGTTCATGGGCTGACTTCACGATCGCGATCCATGAGTCGTGGCCGAGAAATTTCTCACAGTCAGGGAAGACAGTGACCATGATTAGACTGGCGAAACTTTTCGGCCATGAGCAAACATGCCCTGGCTGTGATCTTCTGTTAATGCACATTTCTCTACTCTAGTGCCCTTTTTTGGTACCTAAAACATTTATATCATCTAATACACCCTAAAATGCTAATATTTTATCTGAGGATCAAATAAAGGGTATATTTGACAATATATTAATCGTGAAGACCATGAATTGACCATTATGAACCTCTATATGAGTTCTAAATAACACCATTCTAGGTCTTATTAGTATTGTCCTTGTTGCCTATCAGATCCAGTAACTATCGTGACACAAGGTAGGAATAGATGATAGATACATGGATCAAGTAATTCATATGTTGGCATGATCGAGCGTTGCAATCCAAGGTTGTAGAATGACGCACTTATGCGAATTTGTCTCAGTATGTTTATTGAAAGGTTTGATTGCCTACGTCAGAAATATGTACACTGTTTCAAAAGTAATACAAGCTCATAATCATACTTGGTTGTATATCGTGACATATACAATTCATAGGTTGAGATCTTGGGTGCCTATGGGGCATAGTAAGCGAATTCTCTCAATCGTGGTTACGTATAACCTGTATCTTAATGTGGTTTCAAGTCAAGGAAACTCTAAGAGGAGCTTGCTTATGCAATGTCTCATCCTCATACGTCCTTCACCAGACCGTAGTTTACATTTACTTTTCTCGCATTGTCTTTTTTTTTATTTTTTTTTATTTTTTGTAAAACCAAGGGGAACTTCAACCCTAGAGAAACTAATAACACCTAAATTGGTGTTATTTATCCCTCGTATCTAGGTTCCTTTTTAGTCATTTTATGTGCATAATGATTGATACATTGTAAAATATAGCCTTATTTTGAAGATTATATCATTGTTAGGGTGTATTAGGAAATATATGTGAATTAGGTACCAAAAGAGCACAAGTGTAGCAAGAATGGGGGAAAAGCTTAAGATCACGGTCAGGAAGGGACCGCATGAAGAGAGAGCTGAGATTGCAGCTTTCAATCTCAAAATCACGTCCGACATCTTTGGAGCGTTGGGCGCGAACTTGGAAAGGCAACGAACAAGGGAGAAACAGAACGTTTCAGTAGTTGACTCACTGCCACCTTCTTCCAAGCCCGCGAGAAAGATCGCGACCGTGACATCAAGGATCGCAACCGAGATGTCAGGCCGCAATCCTCTAAGTCTTCAACGCATAAAGGTGCTGACTTAAGAAAGCGCTCTCGCTTCATAAGTCCATAGCCGCGAACTTTTACCCCATGCCCGAAATATGGAAATTCTATAAATAGGGGACTCCTCCCCTTTGAGAAGATAGCTTTTAGCAAATTCTTGATTTTAGAGAGAGATTAGAGAGAATCTTAAAGAACGAGAAGAAGAGAAGGAGGAGCTAGAAGGAAGGAGTCATCTCCCCCATCAAGTCTTCTTCATCATTTTCTTTAATGTTTCTTTTTCCTTCCTATATGGAGTAGTCTTCTAATGTACTAGGATTAAAACTCCCAAACCCTATATTAGATTTATAGTATAGATGAATGAATTATGTTAGAATTTATTAATGGATGTGTTTGTTCTAGTGATTATATGCTTCATTTATGCTTGATTATGCTTAGCTAAGTCATCCTACTCTTCACTACTAGCCTATGATGAGCCAACGTTGGGTAAGAGTTTTAGAGTTAGACTGGGTAGCTCCAACTAGCAATTAAGAGTAGATGAATGATCTTAGAGTCTTATAGTGAACGAGGCAATTGTACCCCTGCTATAAGAACACATTTCTAGACGATGCTCTAGAGGTCGGGAAGCACATAGATCCGACTCTTTAGTGTGCATGATAGGTAAAATCTATTGACAAGGATCAAGTTGCTATTTGGCTCGCTGACTTTCTATCTTGATCCGTTTTTGTGATTTGTTTGTACTTTGGTGGTTTGTCATGTGAAATATAGCAGGGACGGTTCTGTAGTCCGTCTAGTTGTATTGTTTTTCTTTGTTTTCTTTTTCAGCAGTGCAGCATGGACGGTTTTAGTCCGTCTAGCTTTGTTTCGTTTTTCTTTTTTCACAGACCTATTCTGTTTTGTCAGTTCTTTAAGGGGAAACTGGTTCAGCTCTCTTGAACCCATGTTTCTCCTTTCCTTTGTACTATTTCTCCTTCTGCTTTCATCAATAAATTCGCCATTATAAAAAAACGTAATTGGATGACTTGATAGCAATCGAACCTAAGTAGCCTAGGATACCGTGACCCTTTGGAATACGACCGAGCTACTTTACTACATCCCTAGCGTGGTTATACTTCACCTAATTAGGAGTGACTACTGAGTGTGCATCGACTTATAAATTTAAAACTTGATCACAACTGCGATCAGGAATCTCAACCTACACCGTTATGTTTTAAACCATAGAACTCGTCTTTCACCATCTAAGTGGTGTTCTGGGACACTAGAGAATACGATCCTAGTCTTCTTACCAGAAAAATTTGCATCTTCGTACTATACACGATCAATTATGCATGTAATCATCTCTCTTTATGTCGTGCTAAACGCCATGTAAGTTATGGAGTGGATCTTTGTGTGTTCTATTACGTAATTCATATGATTTAATATTTATCTCGAGGTTTATGCTTTTGATTTCTTAATCTTGGTTGCTTATCAGTCGATTTCATATGTGTTGATGTGAAAGCCTCATATATGTTTTTCGTACCATTTTCATATATGTCAATGGAAAACTGCTCACGTGTGTCCATTTATTAATGTTGATTGTCTTTGGTTGATTCGAAAGCGGTCTAGCAATAATACTAGGTCATGGATACAAGATTCATGCTTGAGTCCTTTGATCCTTCATGATATTCATTATATATGTGCATTCATAATTAGTCTAAAGCATGTTCGAAAGCGCGCTTTGCTTAAATAAGTTTAATTACCTCATTGTATGATGTGAATGCGATGATAGGGATATGTATAAAGAGGATTGATGTAGATTAAATTAGAGAAAATAAAACCTTGAGTTATATGTTGATTGTTTGATTCCATGCTGTCACCTAAGTGAAAATATCCTAAACAACACATTTATTTCTTACATTTACAACCTTTTAAATTCATTTACTTAAATTACATGTACTTTTAGTTCTCACGTTGTGATTTTAGTTCTGGGTTAATATATTTGTATTACCTGAATTTTGACCATAATAAACATCCCGACCAATCTTTTCGATCTATAACGTCTTGGTCTAAACTATACATCAAAGTAACGACATTAAACAAACTCGATCTTTGACCGTTATCTTAGACAGTGAAACGCGTTGACTAACAGTCAATCCGTCATGTCACTGCCCGGTCAGCATTAACATAATTAAAAAATTCTCAATTTTCACAAATTTAAAATTTTGAAATTTTGTCTAAAATCAAAAAGGAAAATATTTTTGTTAATCCTCTCAACCCCAAACACTAGCGATTTGTCACCCCGCTGGATCCACCAACGATGGTAACTCCGAGTCCTCGACCGATCCCTATTCCTCTCCTTCAATCCCAAATTTTGATTCCACCTCCTCCTCAAACCCATATATTTTCTTACCGACAGGTGACCCGATCATCATAATTTGTCCAGTCAGCTAGCCAGCCCGAACTGGTTTCCATTTGAAGGCGGTGAAGGTCGCAGGAGAGAACAACGAAGCGTCCCAACTGCCTTTTCCTCCTCAATCCGATTTCCCAATTCTCAAGGTTCGCTTCCTCTTTGATTCTAAAACCCTAATTCGTGTCTAATATCCAGCTTCAATTACGATCGAGATCTCTATCTATGCCAATTCGATCAGGTGAAGCTCTCCCGCTCCCCGTCGATCGAATCCGACCCGCCAATTGGTGATTAACCATGACGGCGCCGAAAATTGGGGGCTAATCAATCTCGGTCTCGCCACCAACCTGGCGTATGACTTCTCTTCTTCTTGTGCTTCGACAATGCCCCTCGCACCCACACTCTCCAGTACCTCGAGGAACAACAGAAAAAGCAAGTTTATTAGCAATCCGTAACCCCCCACCACTCGGTTCACCTATCGGTAAGCAAATCTCGGCAGGGATTTCATCCAGGATTCGACGAGTGCTTGCGATGGTTTAGTGTTTACTTTGAGTGATGAGCACTTGATGCGGGAGAGAGGATCCGGAAGGCCAATTTGGGATCTGGTGGCGTGTCCGTCGGCAGAATTGACGGAGCGGAGGGAGACCGCAAGCGTGGTCGACGAGGAGATCGACAAAATCACCGCCAGTGGTAGATCTATCTATGTTGCAGACAAAGAGAGAAGAAGATAGGGATTTCAAGATTGGGATGGTTATATTTAATTTTTGTTTAATTAAGAGCAGAGTTTGATTGGTCTGGAGAGGATTATGTTTGATTTGGGGTTGGGCTTTGGTAGCAGATGAGAGAGCTCTCTGTCGAAGAAGAGGTTGGGGGAGTGGACGGAGGGGAGTTGTCGGTGGGGGTTTCAATTTATTTTAATTTAATTTTAATAATTTAAAATTATAAAATATGTCTAAATTATGAATATTTTAATAATTTTTATGATGACTGGACGACGATGTGGCATGTTGACCGTTAGTCAACACGTTTGACCGTCCAAGATATGGTCAAACATCGGGTTTGGCCAATGTTGTTACTTCGATGTATAGTTTGGGCCAGGATGTAATAGATCGGAAAGATTGGCCAGGATATTTATTATGGTTAAAGTTCAGGCCATACATATGAACCCTTTCGTTTTCAATTCTTGTTTAATTTCTTGTTATTATTTAGCATAACTCGACATGGAGGCACCTTAACTCCACTTCGTTATTCGAAATACAAGTAGTCAATGTAGTCAAAATCACATTTTAAAACTTAAAAACTTACAATTTTACGTTTCTAGGTCACTAAAATGCTTCTACACAAAATCTTAGTTTTTATTACTTATAGAGTTAAAAACTCTGCTTTAAAACTTAAAAACTTACGATTTTACGCTTCTAGATTACCAAATCGTTTCTACGTAAAAACTAGCTTTTGACTACATTACAAGTAGTTAGTTCAAAGTGGAGAAAACTTTGGATGCTCTGTGGAATACGATCCTAGAGATAACCACGATTTTATTTTATTTGTAGCATACTACAGTCACCTAGTTGATCCTCATATACCTTTGAGGTAGCTCGAAAATGAGTATGTTTTGAAGAAGAAGAAGAAGAAGAAGAAGAAAAAGAAAAAGAAAATGTTTTAGTTATACAAGATGCTAACATGGTACGAGGAGCTCTACTTTTGACGTTCAAGAAAAAAAGCTCTACTTTTGGTTATTTGGTTATGTTATCAAGAGGAGTAGTATGGTGGCCGGCAATGATACAAAAGTGTGTAACTCTTCTAATCTAAAACTGTTATAAAATAAAAGATGGTGAACAAAACGAGAACAAAACTAGAGAGAAACACAAGAGAAAATGAGAGAAGTGCATTTGTTTGCTCTATTCGTGTGATTGCTCGTCCCACCTCTTATATGTAATCCCCTGTAACCCCCTGTTTCTATTTTCCTGGCCTCGGCCTCCTGCTATTGAGAATTTAAATAGAACTTGTAACATACATAATAATAATAATGATAATAATAATAATAATATTTTCATAACACTCCCCCTTGATGACCATTAGATATGAATATGTTTCGTTACAACCTTAATAGGAAAAACCCTGTGGGATGAAAATCATAGTGAAGGAAAAAGAGTGCATAGTCATCATAATACACTATCTGAATCTGTCTCGTTAAAAACCTTACCAGGAAAACCCAATGGAAAAATCATGGTTAAGGAAAAAAAAAGTGCAGTGCGTATATGTCCCCCCCCCCCCCCCCCCCCATGACAACATCAAAGTATAGTTTTGTGCACAAATCTTTCAAATATTGCCATGGTAAGCTTCTTAGTGAACAAATCTTATAAATTGTCACTTTATGCACGATCCATTAGGATCACTTTATTCATACATGATCTTCAAGATCATTTCCTATGAAGATAATCAACAAACACAAGTCATTTAGACGTGTTGAATCACAAATCTTAACCAAACAATTCATAATAAGTCTCATGAATTGTTGACCAATGTGTGTGATCAAATGATGTTGCTATTGTGATTTCTTTGGAATCTCCATGGGACACTTGTATGACCATAAGTAAACAAATTACTCATCTATTATCCTCATTGTTACCTATAGGTAACAAAGTATAACTCAATGAAGTATAGCAAGATACATTTTCGGTCTAACGACATTAACATAGGGTACTTCAGGACCTAATAATTCACTTCTATCTCAAGGCCTAAATTGATCTTTCTTCATTTCTAGTGACCTTATGATCATTAGGTTGTTGAACGTATGCAATTTTTTCCATACAAAATTGTTCTTTCACTTTTCCGACATTGTCGTCCTGATCGAAAAAGGAACTTCTTAAATCCTCCATGTTCAATTTTATTTCTTTAAGCAATACATGCTTTTATGAAGCTCTTCTGGAGTTCATATCAACGAAACATATGAGATCATTACAAAATAATGTCTCAAGTCTTTTCTTCTAAATGAATAAAAAACTTAGCTTACACAGTTGTATGCAAGCAATTACTTCATACCAAAAGGTCACAAGCAAAACCACGTCATACACACAACGTCAATTAATCAAACTACTCTCATAAATCAAAACTCATACATGCCACACACATAAGCCTATATGTCAATACAAATATACAATCATACATGAAAAATGCAAATGCTCTAGTGCACTAGATGAATATGCCATATTCATCCATTTTGTCTCAATCCGTACTACGGATTGGTTCATTTGATCGATTAATGTTCTCGAGAACATCACATGTTTACTTCCGGCAAACTTATCCTTCAGGGAGTTTTGTATAAATATCATTATCAAAAGGAATCCATACAAATAGGATATCACAATATCTACCATATGCAGATTTCATCCTTCTTGAACTGTTGAATTATTTAAATTTCACAATATAGTTGCATCCACCACAAGGGAGTATGTCCTCTCATAATTAATGTTAGGTTTCTATGAGAAATCTCTTATGAGAAATTGTATTATATCTCTCACAATTCCACACATTTTCTTACGCGTTTATAAAAAACCCATTTGTATCTCGTTAGTTTTACATCTTCAAGTGTAAGAACTTCTAGTCCAAAACTTTTATCAAATAAGTCTAATGCTTTCCTTTATATTGGTCAATAAATATTCTTTTTTATGCATCACTAGACTTTTACTTTTGATCATCTTTGTATCTATAACGTCCAGCGCTACAGCATAATCAAAACACTTGTCGACAATAAATTCACTTTGGTTTCAGCGTTTTCATACAAGCAAATTAATTGTGATATCTTCATTTTAAAACTTTGAGGTACATTTTATTCTTCTAGAACTATAATCTCAATTATATGACTCGACTCTTTCAGAGTTATTTTATTCTCGAGTTTACCATCATAATTTATAGCTCCTTCCCCTTTCTCGGAATTTTTATCCTTGGAATCGATTGGTCTACCACACTTCATGCACTCATTTAGACTCATAATATTGCCCAATATGGACATCAATTTGTATTGGAGCATTCATAATTGTGCATATGACATAGTCACTCCTTTTAGTGAGTAAAAGTCGTTTGGCAATCAGTACGTTTTTTTTCCAATGAAATATCATATGAACTTCGGGTTCATTTTCTTAGTTCGAGGATCAAAATGAGATATGATCATTCCAACTCACATCTATGTCCAACTATTTACTTTCCTCCCCCTGAATGTACGAAAGTAAGTCATCAAAATGGTGATAGTAGCAAAAAGAGTCATGAAAAAAAATCTCTCATTGCAATGGACACCATGTCTAACATAAGTTTGAATAGAGCTCAGAACGTGTTGTGGTGGAGCAATTAGGATGTATTCTGCACACCCAAAATTTCTAGCATTTGAAATGTTTGGTCTCTGACCAAAACCATTTGTATGAACGAGGGAACTTATGATAACTTGTTGGTTTCAGGCGAATTAATGGTATCATATGCTAACTAGCATTCCTCGACACGAGATCGATAGACTTAGCTTGTTATCATAAAAGAAGTTATGTTTGATTGGATAATCATCAAAACATATTCGTCATTCGACAACTAATCTCGTAAACATCAGGTTGCGATTAGATAACAAACATATATGATGATATAGTTGATGCATCAATCAAAATCATAAAATTCATATATGATTTGCACGGTGAGTGTATTTTTCTGCATACACTTTTATATATCCTTTGATTGATAAATTCTCTAAACTTTCACTTAATTTCCATATGATATCTCAATCATTTTTTGCATCTGTATTCGGGATGGTATGACAGGACATGCCAAAACAAAAAGTTATTCGATCTTGTAAACTTCTAGGTTAAACTTTCATATGTACTAATATACATGTACAAATTTATTCAGTTAAGTATATGTTTTCTTAGAATACATTTCTGATGCAATATCAATTATGATATTCGTTTCTGCGAATATCTTCAAAATTCGATAATGCATCTTCAACTGACAATTTAGTTCCTTTTCGTCTCGAAACATTAGCTCTTCTGGAGCGTTCACACTCTTGTACAACATTTTGGTCATTAGGCACCTTCTGATTCGGTGAACTATTGTGAGCACATATCTATAGTAATAAGAATATTGTCACTCTATTTTATCATCGATATATTGTTTAGTTACTTCAAGTAACAAAACACAATCTCTTCCAGAGCTTTTCTTACTTTCATACAACATGATATATAATACCAGTATTGACTTTTGCGAATATTCATTCTATACAAAAGCATACAAATAATAATAATAATAATAATAATAATAATAATAACATATATGTGTTTCATAACACATTTCAACATATGAAGGTTACGGTATATGATCATATCTTTTGCTACATGAATTGTTGTGTCATCCACATTTATAATAATTTTATCTTTCACTTTCGGTGGAAATATACATTTGCTGATTGCCATTATCCAAACACCAAATTATATTTATATAATGGTGTGTCTCGCTGCATTCAATTTTAAGAATTGTTTGTTTCATTCGCTTCCGGGAATGAAACAACACTCAGTAGCGGATGCAGGGGGTGGCCACCTCGGGCCACGGCCCAGCCCTCTTCTGGATCCGAAACTAGTATATTCCATATAAAACTTTCGATTTTGAATATTCGGCCTAGTGTTATTTTAGAATAAGATTGTGTGTAATTTGAAAAAATGGTTCACATGAACATATTCAAACCAAAACTGTAAATTTATCTTAGAATTTCTAGGCGTAATGATTTTCTTCTAAAAAGAAACAATGAAACTTGAAATTCTTAAAAGTCTATAACATAAAAGACAAATAGAAATATGAGGTTTGTTCCCTTTAAAATTGCTAGAGCAGCTGGTGAAAATAGGATTGCACACACAATTAAAATTGATTAGTAAATTGATTTGTCTAGTGTTGACGTTGCTCGTCGAGAAATTCATCGCTCATCTTATTGCGCAAATCAATTTTCACATGTTTTATAGTTGAAATTTTTTTCCTCTGTAGTGGTAATACCACTAGCCTAGAACCTGGAGGTCCCAGGTTCAAATCTCTTAAGTAGTACCTTAATAACAACAAAATAAAATCTATATCACCCTTATCCAAGAAAAAGAATTTATC